GGTGGAGAGGGGCACAGAACGGTGGGGAGGGAACCCCACACCCCCACGGAGCTGAGTGAGGGCTGGGGTCGGGGAGTGGGGTCACAAAGTGCTGATTGATGGCAGAGGCTGCGGGTGAGGGGGGGGTCGGGTTGGGGGGGGGGGTGGTCGGAGGAGGGACCCCCATCCTTAGGGGATCTGAAAGACGTTGAGCTTGCTCGTGTTCTTCAGCGTCTGGCGGCGGTTGCAGAACCACACGCGGACCACCTCGCGGTCATAGTTGAGCTCCTTGGCGATCTCGGTGATCTCCTGGCCCGTGGGCAGAGCGTTCTTCTCAAAGTAGGCGTTGAGCGCCTCGATGGCCTGCGGTGTGAAGGACGTGCGGCGCTTGCGTTTCTTGGAAGGCTCCCCGCCGACAAACTCCATCAGGTTCTGCTGCCCCTCCTGGTTGCGCAGCTCCGCCTCGCTCAGCCATTTCTCCAGCACCGGCTTCAGCTTCTGAGCGCTTTTGGGGGTGATGTCGAGCTTCTCGAACCTGCGGGGCCAACACAGAGTCACCGCACTGCTGACAGCGTTGTACCCAAACCCAATCCCAAACACAAACCTTGAGGCTACTTGAGCTCTGGCTGCTTGAGACTGGCCACAGCCTTGGGGAACGGCCTTGGAAGGAACCCATCCTTCCATCCCAACCATCCCACGGTTCTGTGATCTTTCAGGACCCTCCCAACCCAACCATCCTGTAGATTTATGATGTTGAAAGACCCTTCCATCCCAACCACCCTGTGGCTCTTTGACTTTTAAGAACCCTCTCAACTCAACCACCCCATGGCTCTACGACCTTTCAGGACCCTCTCAACCCAACCATCCCACAGCTCTTTGATCTTTCAGGACCCTCCCAACCCAACAACCCCACGGCTCTTCAACCTTTTAGGACCCTCCCAATTCAACCATCCTGTAGATTCATGATGTTGAAAGACCTTTCCATCCCAACCACCCCACGGCTCTACAACCATTCAGGACCTTCCCAACCCAACCACCCCATGGCTCTACGACCTTTCAGGACCCTCCCAACCCAACCATCCCCCCGTTCTACGCTCCCACACGGGGTGGCTGCAGTGCTGCCCCATCTCCACACCGCACCTGCAGATGGCAGACTGGCTGTACGCCGGTCCCTCGGTGGCCGTCAGCGCCTGCCCCACCTGCGTCTGCGTCAGCCCCAGGGACAGACGCCGGATCTTGAAGTTCTTGGCGAACTCCCGGATCTCCTCCAGGTTGATGCCGTCCTCCTCGGCGCTGCTGTTGGGCGCCGCGGGCTCTGCAGGCGGACGTACGGTGTGAGCGGTGACAGATCCCACTGCACCTCCCCACCCCAAAGGGGAAACCCCCCCCCCATCCACCCCTCAGCACACATGGGAGCGGAGTGACTCACTGGACACCAGCTGGCTGACGGTGGGGGTCTCCGAGCAGGTGATGGGGATGGGGGCCGGGGTCGCCTTGGCTGCTGGGGCTGGGCTGGTGATGACCACAGCTGGCTGGGACAGAGCTGGGGCCGGCTGGATGGGCTGCACCTGGGGGTGAGAGCAGTGTCCCCAACCCAGCCCCATAGCATCCCTATGGGGTGATTGTCACCCTGCAGGTACCAGGGACAGACAGGGACAGCAGTGCCCCCA